TGACTGTGATCCTAATGCTGACTGTGATCCTAACACACTAACATTGACTGTGATCCTAACACTGACTGTGATCCTAACACTGACTGTGATCTTAACACTGACTGTGATCCTAACACTGACTGTGATCCTAACACTGACTGTGATCCTAACACTGACTGCGATCCTACTGTGATCGATAACACTGACTGTGATCGTAACATGACTATGATCCTAACACTGACTGTGATCCTAACACTGACTCATGATCCTAACACTCCTAACACTGACTGTGATCCTAACACTGACTGTGATCCTAACACTGACTGTGATCCTAACACTGACTGTGATCCTAACACTGACTGTGATCCTAACACTGACTGTGATCCTAACACTGACTGTGATCCTAACACTGACTGTGATCCTAACACTGACTGTGATCCTAACACTGACTGCGATCCTAACACTGACTGTGATCCTAACACTGACTGTGATCCTAACACTGACTGCGATCCTAACACTGACTGTGATCCTAACACTGACTGTGATCCTAACACTGACTGTGATCCTAACACTGACTGTGATCCTAACACTGACTGTGATCCTAACACTGACTGCGATCCTGACTGTGATCCTAACACTGACTGTGATCCTAACACTGACTGCAAACCTAACACTGACTGTGATCCTAACACTGACTGTGATCCTAACACTGACTGTGATCCTAGCACTGACTGTGATCCTAACACTGACTGTAGTGAACCTACTGTGACACTGACTGTGATCCTAACACTGACTGTGAACCCTAACACTGACTGTGAACCTACTGCGATGCAACTGACTGTGAACCTAACACTGACTGTGATCCTAACACTGACTCCTGATCCTGCTGATGGTAACACTGACTGTGATCCTAACACTGACTGTGAACCTAACACTGACTGTGATCCTAACACTGACTGTGATCCTAACACTGACTGTGATCCTACTGTGATCCTGACACTGACTGTGACACTGACTGCAAACCTAACACTGACTGTGATCCTAACACTGACTGTGATCCTAACACTGACTGTGATCCTAACAATGACTGTGATCCTAACACTGACAGGGATGGAAATAGTCTGTCTCACAGTCCCTGAACCACATTTATTTCCCTACTGCCAATCCCTCTCTGCAGTGCTAAAGCCCTAAATAAAGCAAGTCTAGATTTCCTCAGGTTCTGAATCTCTGGTCCACCTAGGGCTCCTTTTCAATATAAATGGGCTTGTTTGTTGCTATCAAAATTATATATATTCAGAGACTAAGCCTTAGTCTAGGATGGAAACTGTGATCCTAACACTGACAGGGATGGAAACGGTGATCCTAATACTGACAGGGATGGAAACTGTGAGCAAGGGTTTCGAAGGTTGGCTGCAGCAGTGTGATCCTGGTAATTGAGGCTTGGTATGGACCATCACTCAAATATATGTGCAAGCTCAAAAACAGCACATTCCATCCCAATCTTTTGGATCTGTTGTTTGTGCCCAAAACAGCAGCCATTGCAAAAGTTAGTCCAGAACTGTGGAACAATCTTTGTCACTGATATACCTACAGTAGACAGCATACTTCTGATCAGAGATTGGATGGCAAAAGCTCAATGGGTTTGACTACTTGAGAAAAGGATGTCACCAGCTGGTAAAGTCAGTGCCCTGCAGCATCACGTCTCACAGTCCCTGAACCACATTATTTTCCCTACTGCCTAGCGCTTCATGCAATGTAATCTATCTCACAGCCCCTGAACCACATTATTTTCCCTACTGCCTAGCCCTCCATGCAATGTAGTCTATCTCACAGCCCCTGAACCACATTATAGTGTAGTTATCAATCAGTCTATAGTAGACTGTAGTGATGTCTCAGTCTGTAGTAGACTGTAGTGATGTCTCAGTCTGTAGTAGACTGTAGTGATGTCTCAGTAGACTGTAGTGATGTCTCAGTCTATAGTGGACTGTAGTGATGTCTCAGTCTGTAGTAGACTGTAGTGATGTCTCAGTCTATAGTGGACTGTAGTGATGTCTCAGTCTGTAGTGGACTGTAGTAATGTCTCAGTCTATAGTGGACTGTAGTGATGTCTCAGTCTATAGTGGACTGTAGTGATGTCTCAGTCTGTAGTAGACTATAGTGATGTCTCAGTCTGTAGTAGACTGTAGTGATGTCTCAGTCTATAGTGGACTGTAGTGATGTCTAAGTCTATAGTGGACTGTAGTGATGTCTCAGTCTGTAGTAGACTGTAGTGATGTCTCAGTCTGTAGTAGACTGTAGTGATGTCTCAGTCTATAGTAGACTGTAGTGATGTCTCAGTCTGTAGTAAACTGTAGTGATGTCTCAGTCTATAGTGGACTGTAGTGATGTATCAGTCTATAGTGGACTGTAGTGATGTCTCAGTCTATAGTAGACTGTAGTGATGTCTCAGTCTATAGTGGACTGTAGTGATGTCTCAGTCTGTAGTAGACTGTAGTGATGTCTCAGTCTATAGGTAGACTGTAGTGATCTCTGTCTGTAGTAGACTGTAGTGATGTCTCAGTCTATAGTAGACTGTAGTGATGTCTCAGTCTATAGTAGACTGTAGTGATGTCTCAGACTATAGTAGACTGTAGTGATGTCTCAGACTATAGTAGACTGTAGTGATGTCTCAGTCTGTAGTAGACTGTAGTGATGTCTGAGTCTATAGTAGACTGTAGTGATGTCTCAGACTATGAGTGGACTAGTGGTAGACTATAGTAGACTGTAGTGATGTCGCAGACTATAGTAGACTGTAGTGATGTCTCAGTCTGTAGTAGACTGTAGTGATGTCTCAGTCTGTAGTAGAGTCTCAGACTATAGTAGACTGTAGTGATGTCTCAGACTATAGTGGACTGTAGTGATGTCTCAGTCTATAGTAGACTGTAGTGATGTCTCAGTCTGTAGTGGACTGTAGTGATGTCTCAGTCTATAGTGGACTGTAGTGATGTCTCAGTCTATAGTAGGCTGTAGTGATGTCTCAGTGTATAGTAGACTGTAGTGATGTCTCAGTCTATAGTAGACTGTAGTGATGTCTCAGTCTGTAGTAGACTGTAGTGATGTCTCAGTCTATAGTGGACTGTAGTGATGTCTCAGTCTATAGTAGACTGTAGTGATGTCTCAGTCTATAGTGATGTCTCAGTAGTAGATGTGATGTCTCAGTCTATAGTAGACTGTAGTGATGTCTCAGTCTATAGTAGATTGTAGTGATGTCTCAGTCTATAGTAGACTGTAGTGATGTCTCAGTCTATAGTGGACTGTAGTGATGTCTCAGTCTATAGTAGACTGTAGTGATGTCTCAGACTATAGTGGACTGTAGTGATATCTCAAACTATAGTAGACTGTAGTGATGTCTCAGACTGTAGCAGACTGTACACTTCATATACTTACAATATACCACCTGTGTTAACTCCATGATATACCACCCATTTATACTTCATATACTTACAATATACCATGTGTGTCAACCCATGACATATCACCCATTTACACTTCATATACTTGCAATATACCACCTGTGTCAGCCCATGACATATCACCCATTTACACTTCATATACTTACAATATACCACCTGTGTCAAACCATGATATATCACCTACTTACACTTCATATACTTACAATATATCACCTGTGTCAACCCATTATATAGCATCTATTTGAGCCTAATACGCTTACAAAATAGGACCTGTGGTGATAAACGGTATGTGCATGATATATCACCAAGGTTAAAATGATATACTGGTATTCATGATACAATTTGCAACATGCATTGATGTATGATGTATTCTCATTATACCATGTGTCATGAGATGCCACCTGTTTCATTTCATGATCATATGACCTGTGGGGCGGTGGGGTAGCCTAATGGTTAAAGTGTTGGCTCGTCACGCCGAAGACCCGGGTTCGAATCCCCACATGGGTACAATGTGTGAAGCCCATTTCTGGTGTCCCCCGCCGTGATGTTGCTGGAATATTGCTAAAAGCGGCGTAAAACCAGACTCAGTCAGTCAGTCATATGACCTGTATTGACTCATGATATACACATAATATACCACCTATGTTGACAATGATATCCACAAGATATAGGACCTGTGTTATGAGTGATATACACATGATATACTTCCAGTGTTATGAGTTATATACACATGATATACCTCCTGCCCTTAGAACTGAACACATACAATGACTTTTTATTATCAAGACCGCGTTAAGACTCATCTGTTTCCTCTCACCCATCCTTCAAACTGAAAACTTTGTCCTTCTCTTATCTTCCAGCACTTTGAGCATTCTTATGTGGGGAAAATGCGCTTAACAAGTGGACTATTATGTTTTGAAATGATATACACATGATATACCTCCTGTTTTGACAATGATGTACTTGTGATATACCTCCTGTGTTAACAATGATATTCTTATCATATACCTCTTGTGTTGACAAAGATATACTCATGATATACCACCTGATTTGAAAATGATATGCTTGTAATATACCTCCTGTATTGGCAATGATATACTTATGATATACCTCCTGTGCTGACAATGATATACCTATGCTGACAATGATAAACTACCTGAGTTGTCAATGATATACTTGTGATATACCTGTGATGACAATGATATACTTATGATATACCTGTGTTGACAATGATATACTTGTGATATACCTGTGTTGACAATGATATACCTATGATATACTTACTGTGCTGACAATGATATACCTATGCTGACAATGATATACTACCTGAGTTGTCAATGATATACTTGTGATATACCTGTGTTGACAATGATATACTTATGATATACCTGTGTTGACAATGAAATACTTGTGATATACCTGTGTTGACAATGATATACTTATGTTATACCTCCTGTGCTGACAATGATATACCTATGCTGACAATGATATACTACCTGAGTTGTCAATGATATACTTGTGATATACCTGTGTTGACAATGATATACTTATGATATACCTGTGTTGCAGACATCAGCAGCGTGCCAGGTGTGGTGCCCATCACTCAGGACACTCCCAACTGGAAGCGAGAGATGGTAGAAAAGAAGAATAGAGAGATGATAGAAGAATACGTTGTATGTAGAACCTCATGTTGCACATCTGACAGGTAGTATATGTTGTACATAGAACCTCATGTTGCACATCTGACGGGTAGTTTATGTTGTACATAGAACCTCATGTTGCAAATCTGACAGGTAGTTTATGTTGTACATAGAACCTCATGTTGCACATCTGACAGGTAGTTTATGTTGTACATAGAACCTCATGTTGCACATCTGACAGGTAGTTTATGTTGTACATAGAACCTCATGTTGCACATCTGACAGGTAGTTTATGTTGTACGTAGAACCTCATGTTGCACATCTGACAGGTAGTTTATGTTGTACATAGAACCTCATGTTACATCTGACAGGTAGTTTATGTTGACATAGAACCTCATGTTGCACATCTGACAGGTAGTTTATGTTGTACATAGAACCTCATGTTGCACATCTGACAGGTAGTTTATGTTGTACATAGAACCTCATGTTACACATCTGACAGGTAGTTTATGTTGTACATAGAACCTCATGTTGCACATCTGACAGGGTAGTTTATGTTGTACATAGAACCTCATGTTGCACATCTGACAGGTAGTTTATGTTGTATGTAGAACCTCATGTTGCACATCTGACAGGTAGTTTATGTTGTACATAGAACCTCATGTTGCACATCTGACAGGTAGTTTATGTTGTATAGAACCTCATGTTGCACGACAGGTAGTTTATGTTGTACCTCATGTTGCACATCATCTGACACCTCATGGCACATCTGAGTTTATGTTGTATGTAGAACCTCATGTTGCACATCTGACAGGTAGTTTATGTTGTACATAGAACCTCATGTTGCACATCTGACAGGTAGTTTATGTTGTACATAGAACCTCATGTTGCACATCTGACAGGTAGTTTATGTTGTACGTAGAACCTCATGTTGCACATCTGACAGGTAGTTTATGTTGTACATAGAACCTCATGTTGCACATCTGACAGGTAGTTTATGTTGTACATAGAACCTCATGTTGCACATCTGACAGGTAGTTTATGTTGTACATAGAACCTCATGTTGCACATCTGACAGGTAGTTTATGTTGTACATAGAACCTCATGTTGCAAATCTGACAGGTAGTTTATGTTGTACATAGAACCTCATGTTGCACATCTGACAGGTAGTTTATGTTGTACATAGAACCTCATGTTGCACATCTGACAGGTAGTTTATGTTGTACATAGAACCTAATGTTATACATCTGACAGGTAGTTTATGTTGTACATAGAACCTCATGTTGCACATCTGACAGGTAGTTTATGTTGTACATAGAACCTCATGTTATACATCTGACAGGTAGTTTATGTTGTACATAGAACCTCATGTTGCACATCTGACAGGTAGTTTATGTTGAACCTCATGTTGCACATCTGACAGGTAGTTTATGTTGTACATAGAACCTCATGTTGCACATCTGACAGGTAGTTTATGTTGTACATAGAACCTCATGTTGCACATCTGACAGGTAGTTTATGTTGTACATAGAACCTCATGTTGCACATCTGACAGGTAGTTTATGTTGTACATAGAACCTCATGTTGCACATCTGACAGGTAGTTTATGTTGTACATAGAACCTCATGTTGCACATCTGACAGGTAGTTTATGTTGTACATAGAACCTCATGTTGCACATCTGACAGGTAGTTTATGTTGTACATAGAACCTCATGTTGCACATCTGACAGGTAGTTTATGTTGTACATAGAACCTCATGTTGCACATCTGACAGGTAGTTTATGTTGTATGTAGAACCTCATGTTGCACATCTGACAGGTAGTTTATGTTGTACATAGAACCTCATGTTGCACATCTGACAGGTAGTTTATGTTGTACATAGAACCTCATGTTGCACATCTGACAGGTAGTTTATGTTGTACATAGAACCTCATGTTGCACATCTGACAGGTAGTTTATGTTGTACATAGAACCTCATGTTGCACATCTGACAGGTAGTTTATGTTGTACATAGAACCTCATGTTGCACATCTGACAGGTAGTTTATGTTGTACATAGAACCTCATGTTGCACATCTGACAGGTAGTTTATGTTGTACATAGAACCTCATGTTGCACATCTGACAGGTAGTTTATGTTGTACATAGAACCTCATGTTGCACATCTGACAGGTAGTTTATGTTGTACATAGAACCTCATGTTGCACATCTGACAGGTAGTTTATGTTGTATGTAGAACCTCATGTTGCACATCTGACAGGTAGTTTATGTTGTACATAGAACCTCATGTTGCACATCTGACAGGTAGTTTATGTTGTACATAGAACCTCATGTTGCACATCTGACAGGTAGTTTATGTTGAACGTAGAACCTCATGTTGCACATCTGACAGGTAGTTTATGTTGTATCATGTTGCACATCTGACAGGTAGTTTATGTTGTACGTATAGAACCTCATGTTGCACATCTGACAGGTAGTTTATGTTGTACATAGAACCTCATGTTGCACATCTGACAGGTAGTTTATGTTGTACATAGAACCTCATGTTGCACATCTGACAGGTAGTTTATGTTGTACATAGAACCTCATGTTGCACATCTGACAGGTAGTTTATGTTGTACATAGAACCTCATGTTGCACATCTGACAGGTAGTTTATGTTGTACATAGAACCTCATGTTGCACATCTGACAGGTAGTTTATGTTGTACATAGAACCTCATGTTGCACATCTGACAGGTAGTTTATGTTGTATGTAGAACCTCATGTTGCACATCTGACAGGTAGTTTATGTTGTACATAGAACCCTCATGTTGCACATCTGACAGGTAGTTTATGTTGTACATAGAACCTCATGTTGCACATCTGACAGGTAGTTTATGTTGTACATAGAACCTCATGTTGCACATCTGACAGGTAGTTTATGTTGTACATAGAACCTCATGTTGCACATCTGACAGGTAGTTTATGTTGTACATAGAACCTCATGTTGCACATCTGACAGGTAGTTTATGTTGTACATAGAACCTCATGTTGCACATCTGACAGGTAGTTTATGTTGTACATAGAACCTCATGTTGCACATCTGACAGGTAGTTTATGTTGTACATAGAACCTCATGTTGCACATCTGACAGGTAGTTTATGTTGTACATAGAACCTCATGTTGCACATCTGACAGGTAGTTTATGTTGTACATAGAACCTCATGTTGCACATCTGACAGGTAGTTTATGTTGTACATAGAACCTCATGTTGCACATCTGACAGGTAGTTTATGTTGTACATAGAACCTCATGTTGCACATCTGACAGGTAGTTTATGTTGTACATAGAACCTCATGTTGCACATCTGACAGGTAGTTTATGTTGTAGAACATAGAACCTCATGTTGCACATCTGACAGGTAGTTTATGTTGTACATAGAACCTCATGTTGCACATCTGACAGGTAGTTTATGTTGTACAGTAGAACCTCATGTTGCACATCTGACAGGTAGTTTATGTTGTACATAGAACCTCATGTTGCACATCTGACAGGTAGTTTATGTTGTACATAGAACCTCATGTTGCACATCTGACAGGTAGTTTATGTTGAACGTAGAACCTAATGTTATAAATCTGACAGCTAGTTTCATATATGTGTGGATATTGCTGGTAAAGATGCATTAAGATGGAGTTAAGTTTGTGTTGTAGAGGAAGAGGAAGTTGAGAATGTTTGTTGATGTTGCAGAGGAAGATCCTGAGAGAGAGGGAGGAGCAAGCCAAGTGGAAGGATGTCCCTGAGTGGAAGAGGAAGATACTCTTGAAGAAATCCCAGGAGGTAATGTCAGTGATCAGCTCCCTCCTCTATACTAATAGGTGGTGATGTCAGTGATCAGCTCCCTCCTCTATACTGATAGGTGGTGATGTCAGTGTTCAGCTCCCTCCTCTATACTGATAGGTGGTGATGTCAGTGTTCAGCTCCCTCCTCTATACTGATAGGTGGTGATGTCAGTGTTCAGCTCCCTCCTCTATACTGATAGGTGGTGATGTCAGTGTTCAGCTCCTCCTCTATACTGATAGGTGGTGATGTCAGTGTTCAGCTCCCTCCTCTATACTGATAGGTGGTGATGTCAGTGTTCAGCTCCCTCCTCTATACTGATAGGTGGTGATGTCAGTGTTCAGCTCCCTCCTCTATACTGATAGGTGGTGATGTCAGTGTTCAGCTCCTCCTCTATACTGATAGGATAGGTGGTGATGTCAGTGTTCAGCTCCCTCCTCTATACTGATAGGTGGTGATGTCAGTGTTCAGCTCCCCTCCTCTATACTGATAGGTGGTGATGTCAGTGTTCAGCTCCCTCCTCTATACTGATAGGTGGTGATGTCAGTGTTCAGCTCCCTCCTCTATACTGATAGGTGGTGATGTCAGTGTTCAGCTCCCTCCTCTATACTGATAGGTGGTGATGTCAGTGTTCAGCTCCCTCCTCTATACTGATAGGTGGTGATGTCAGTGTTCAGCTCCCACCTCTATACTGATAGGTGGTGATGTCAGTGTTCAGCTCCCTCCTCTCTATACTGATAGGGTGGTGATGTCAGTGTTCAGCTCCCTCCTCTATACTGATAGGTGGTGATGTCAGTGTTCAGCTCCCTCCTCTATACTGATAGGTGGTGATGTCAGTGTTCAGCTCCCTCCTCTATACTGATAGGTGGTGATGTCAGTGTTCAGCTCCCTCCTCTATACTGATAGGTGGTGATGTCAGTGTTCAGCTCCTCCTCCTATACTGATAGGTGGTGATGTCAGTGTTCAGCTCCCTCCTATATACTGATAGGTGGTGATGTCAGTGATCAGCTCCCTCCTCTATACTGATAGGTGGTGATGTCAGTGTTCAGCTCCCTCCTCTATACTGATAGGTGGTGATGTCAGTGTTCAGCTCCCTCCTCTATACTGATAGGTGGTGATGTCAGTGTTCAGCTCCCTCCTCTATACTGATAGGTGGTGATGTCAGTGTTCAGCTCCCTCCTCTATACTGATAGGTGGTGATGTCAGTGTTCAGCTCCTCCTCTATACTGATAGGTGGTGATGTCAGTGTTCAGCTCCCTCCTCTATACTGATAGGTGGTGATGTCAGTGTTCAGCTCCCTCCTCTATACTGATAGGTGGTGATGTCAGTGTTCAGCTCCCTCCTCTATACTGATAGGTGGTGATGTCAGTGTTCAGCTCCCTCCTCTATACTGATAGGTGGTGATGTCAGTGATCAGCTCTCTCCTCTATACTGATAGGTGGTGATGTCAGTGTTCAGCTCCATCCTCTATACTGATAGGTGGTGATGTCAGTGTTCAGCTCCCTCCTCTATACTGATCTGGTGATGTCACTCTATACTGATAGGTGGTGATGTCAGTGATGTCAGCTCCTCCTCCTATACTGATAGGTGGTGATGTCAGTGTTCAGCTCCCTCCTCTATACTGATAGGTGGTGATGTCAGTGTTCAGCTCCCTCCTCTATACTGATAGGTGGTGATGTCAGTGTTCAGCTCCCTCCTCTATACTGATAGGTGGTGATGTCAGTGTTCAGCTCCCTCCTCTATACTGATAGGTGGTGATGTCAGTGTTCAGCTCCCTCCTCTATACTGATAGGTGGTGATGTCAGTGATCAGCTCCTCCCTCTATACTGATAGGTGGTGATGTCAGTGTTCAGCTCCTCCCTCTATACTGATAGGTGGTGATGTCAGTGTTCAGCTCCCTCCTCTATATATAGGTGATAGGTGGTGATGTCAGTGTTCAGCTCCCTCCTCTATACTGATAGGTGGTGATGTCAGTGTTCAGCTCCCTCCTCTATACTGATAGGTGGTGATGTCAGTGTTCAGCTCCTCCTCTATACTGATAGGTGGTGATGTCAGTGTTCAGCTCCCTCCTCTATACTGATAGGTGGTGATGTCAGTGTTCAGCTCCCTCCTCTATACTGATAGGTGGTGATGTCAGTGTTCAGCTCCCTCCTCTATACTGATAGGTGGTGATGTCAGTGTTCAGCTCCCTCCTCTATACTGATAGGTGGTGATGTCAGTGTTCAGCTCCCTCCTCTATACTGATAGGTGGTGATGTCAGTGTTCAGCTCCCTCCTCTATACTGATAGGTGGTGATGTCAGTGTTCAGCTCCTTCCTCTATACTGATAGGTGGTGATGTCAGTGTTCAGCTCCCTCCTCTATACTGATAGGTGGTGATGTCAGTGTTCAGCTCCCTCCTCTATACTGATAGGTGGTGATGTCAGTGTTCAGCTCCCTCCTCTATACTGATAGGTGGTGATGTCAGTGTTCAGCTCCCTCCTCTATACTGATAGGTGGTGATGTCAGTGATCAGCTCCCTCCTCTATACTGATAGGTGGTGATGTCAGTGTTCAGCTCCCACCTCTATACTGATAGGTGGTGATGTCAGTGTTCAACTCCCTCCTCTATACTGATAGGTGGTGATGTCAGAGTTCAGCTCCCTCCTCTATACTGATAGGTGGTGATGTCAGTGTTCAGCTCCCTCCTCTATACTGATAGGTGGTGATGTCAGTGATCAGCTCCCTCCTCTATACTGATAGGTGGTGATGTCAGTGTTCAGCTCCCTCCTCTATACTGATAGGTGGTGATGTCAGTGATCAGCTCCCTCCTCTATACTGATAGGTGGTGATGTCAGTGTTCAGCTCCTCCTCTATACTGATAGGTGGTGATGTCAGTGATCAGCTCCCTCCTCTATACTGATAGGTGGTGATGTCAGTGTTCAGCTCCCACCTCTATACTGATAGGTGGTGATGTCAGTGTTCAGCTCCCTCCTCTATACTGATAGGTGGTGATGTCAGAGTTCAGCTCCCTCCTCTATACTGATAGGTGGTGATGTCAGTGTTCAGCTCCATCCTCTATAGTGATAGGTGGTGATGTCAGTGATCAGCTCCCTCCTCTATACTGATAGGTGGTGATGTCAGTGTTCAGCTCCATCCTCTATACTGATAGGTGGTGATGTCAGTGTTCAGCTCCCTCCTCTATACTGATAGGTGGTGATGTCAGTGTTCAGCTCCCTCCTCTATAGTGATAGGTGGTGATGTCAGTGATCAGCTCCCTCCTCTATACTGATAGGTGGTGATGTCAGTGTTCAGCTTCCACCTCTATACTGATAGGTGGTGATGTCAGTGTTCAGCTCCTCCTCCTCTATACTGATAGGTGGTGATGTCAGTGTTCAGCTCCTCCTCTATACTGATAGGTGGTGATGTCAGTGTTCAGCTCCTCCTCTATACTGATAGGTGGTGATGTCAGTGTTCAGCTCCTCCTCTATACTGATAGGTGGTGATGTCAGTGTTCAGCTCCCTCCTCTATACTGATAGGTGGTGATGTCAGTGTTCAGCTCCCTCCTCTATACTGATAGGTGGTGATGTCAGTGTTCAACTCCCTCCTCTATACTGATAGGTGGTGATGTCAGTGTTCAGCTCCCTCCTCTATACTGATAGGTGGTGATGTCAGTGTTCAGCTCCTCCTCTATACTGATAGGTGGTGATGTCAGTGTTCAGCTCCTCCTCCTCTATACTGATAGGTGGTGATGTCAGTGTTCAGCTCCTCCTCTATACTGATAGGTGGTGATGTCAGTGTTCAGCTCCTCCTCCTCTATACTGATAGGTGGTGATGTCAGTGTTCAGCTCCCTCCTCTATACTGATAGGTGGTGATGTCAGTGATCAGCTCCCTCCTCTATACTGATAGGTGGTGATGTCAGTGTTCAGCTCCCACCTCTATACTGATAGGTGGTGATGTCAGTGTTCAGCTCCCTCCTCTATACTGATAGGTGGTGATGTCAGAGTTCAGCTCCCTCCTCTATACTGATAGGTGGTGATGTCAGTGTTCAGCTCCATCCTCTATAGTGATAGGTGGTAATGTCAGTGATCAGCTCCCTCCTCTATACTGATAGGTGGTGATGTCAATGTTCAGCTCCATCCTCTATACTGATAGGTGGTGATGTCAGTGATCAGCTATCTCCTCTATACTGATAGGTGGTGATGTCAGTGTTCAGCTCCCTCCTCTATAGTGATAGGTGGTGATGTCAGTGATCAGCTCCCTCCTCTATACTGATAGGTGGTGATGTCAGTGTTCAGCTCCCTCCTCTATACTGATAGGTGGTGATGTCAGTGTTCAGCTCCCTCCTCTATACTGATAGGTGGTGATGTCAGTGTTCAGCTCCCTCCTCTATAATGATAGGTGGTGATGTCAGAGTTCTGCTCCCTCCTCTATACTGATAGGTGTTGATGTCAGTGATCAGCTCCCTCCTATATACTGATAGGTGGTGATGTCAGTGATCAGCTCTCTCCTCTATACTGATAGGTGGTGATGTCAGTGTTCAGCTCCATCCTCTATACTGATAGGTGGTGATGTCAGTGTTCAGCTCCCTCCTCTATACTGATAGGTGCTGATGTCAGTGTTCATCTCCCTCCTCTATACTGATAGGTGGTGATGTCAGTGTTCAGCTCCCTCCTCTATACTGATAGGTGGTGATGTCAGTGTTCAGCTCCCTCCTCTATACTGATAGGTGGTGATGTCAGTGATCAGCTACTCCTCTATACTGATAGGTGGTGATGTCAGTGTTCAGCTCCCTCCTCTATACTGATAGGTGGTGATGTCAGTGTTCAGCTCCCTCCTCTATACTGATAGGTGGTGATGTCAGAGTTCAGCTCCCACCTCTATACTGATAGGTGGTGATGTCAGTGTTCAGCTTCCACCTCTATACTGATAGGTGGTGATGTCAGTGTTCAGCTCCCTCCTCTATACTGATAGGTGGTGATGTCAGTGTTCAGCTCCCTCCTCTATACTGATAGGTGGTGATGTCAGTGATCAGCTCCCTCCTCTATACTGATAGGTGTGTCAGTGTTCAGCTCCCTCTATATACTGATAGGTGTGATGTCAGTGTTCAGCTCCCTCCTCTATACTGATAGGTGGTGATGTCAGTGTTCAGCTCCCTCCTCTATACTGATAGGTGGTGATGTCAGTGTTCAGCTCCCTCCTCTATACTGATAGGTGGTGATGTCAGTGTTCAGCTCCCTCCTCTATACTGATAGGTGGTGATGTCAGTGTTCAGCTCCCTCCTCTATACTGATAGGTGGTGATGTCAGTGTTCAGCTCCATCCTCTATACTGATAGGTGGTGATGTCAGTGATCAGCTCCTCCTCTATACTGATAGGTGGTGATGTCAGTGTTCAGCTCCTCCTCTATACTGATAGGTGGTGATGTCAGTGATCAGCTCCATCCTCTATACTGATAGGTGGTGATGTCAGTGTTCAGCTCCCTCCTCTATACTGATAGGTGGTGATGTCAGTGTTCAGCTCCTCCTCTATACTGATAGGTGGTGATGTCAGTGTTCAGCTCCCTCCTCTATACTGATAGGTGGTGATGTCAGTGTTCAGCTCCTCCTCTATACTGATAGGTGGTGATGTCAGTGTTCAGCTCCCTCCTATATACTGATAGGTGGTGATGTCAGTGATCAGCTATCTCCTCTATACTGATAGGTGGTGATGTCAGTGTTCAGCTCCATCCTCTATACTGATAGGTGGTGAAGTCAGTGTTCAGCTCCCTCCTCTATACTGATAGGTGGTGATGTCAGTGTTCAGCTCCTCCTCTATACTGATAGGTGGTGATGTCAGTGTTCAGCTCCTCCTCTATACTGATAGGTGGTGATGTCAGTGTTCAGCTCCCTCCTCTATACTGATAGGTGGTGATGTCAGTGTTCAGCTCCTCCTCTATACTGATAGGTGGTGATGTCAGTGTTCAGCTCCCTCCTCTATACTGATAGGTGGTGATGTCAGTGATCAGCTCCCTCCTCTATATACTGATAGGTGGTGATGTCAGTGTTGTTCAGCTCCCTCCTCTATACTGATAGGTGGTGATGTCAGTGTTCAGCTCCTCCTCAGCTCTCCCTCTATACTGATAGGTGGTGATGTCAGTGTTCAGCTCCCTCCCTCTATACTGATAGGTGGGTGGTGATGTCAGTGATCAGCTCCCTCCTCCTATACTGATAGGTGGTGATGTCAGTGTTCAGCTCCCTCCTCTATACTGATGGTGGTGATGTCAGTGTTCAGCTCCCTCCTCTATACTGATAGGTGGTGATGTCAGTGTTCAGCTCCCTCCTCTATACTGATAGGTGGTGATGTCAGTGTTCATCAGCCTCCTCTATACTGATAGGTGGTGATGTCAGTGTTCAGCTCCTCCTCTCTATACTGATAGGTGGTGATGTCAGTGTTCAGCTCCCTCCTCTATACTGATAGGTGGTGATGTCAGTGTTCAGCTCCTCCTCTATACTGATAGGTGGTGATGTCAGTGTTCATCAGCTATCCTCTATACTGATAGGTGGTGATGTCAGTGTTCAGCTCCATCCTCTATACTGATAGGTGGTGATGTCAGTGTTCAGCTCCCACCTCTATACTGATAGGTGGTGATGTCAGTGTTCAGCTCCCTCCTCTATACTGATAGGTGGTGATGTCAGTGTTCAGCTCCCTCCTCTATACTGATAGGTGGTGATGTCAGTGTTCAGCTCCCTCCTCTATACTGATAGGTGGTGATGTCAGTGTTCAGCAACTCCTCCTCTATACTGATAGGTGGTGATGTCAGTGTTCAGCTCCATCCTCTATACTGATAGGTGGTGATGTCAGTGATCAGCTCCCTCCTCTATACTGATAGGTGGTGATGTCAGTGTTCAGCTCCATCCTCTATACTGATAGGTGGTGATGTCAGTGATCAGCTCCCTCCTCTATACTGATAGGTGGTGATGTCAGTGTTCAGCTCCCTCCTCTATACTGATAGGTGGTGATGTCAGTGATCAGCTCCCTCCTCTATACTGATAGGTGGTGATGTCAGTGTTCATCAGCTCCCTCCTCTATACTGATAGGTGGTGATGTCGTGATCAGCTCCCTCCTCTATACTGATAGGTGGTGATGTCAGTGATCAGCTCCCTCCTCTATACTGATAGGTGGTGATGTCGGTGATCAGCTCCCTCCTCTATACTGATAGGTGGTGATGTCGGTGTTCAGCTCCCTCCTCTATACTGATAGGTGGTGATGTCAGTGTTCAGCTCCCTCCTCTATACTGATAGGTGGTGTGTCAGTGTTCAGCTCCCTCCTCTATACTGATGTCGTCAGCGATCAGCTCCCTCCTCTATACTGATAGGTGGTGATGTCAGTGATCAGCTCCCTCCTCTATACTGATAGGTGGTGATGTCAGTGATCAGCTCCCTCCTCTATACTGATAGGTGGTGATGTCGGCGATCAGCTCCCTCCTCTATACTGATAGGTGGCGATGTCAGTGATCAGCTCCATCCTCTATACTGATAGGTGGTGATGTCGTGATCAGCTCCCATCTCTATACTGATAGGTGGTGATGTCGTGATCAGCTCCCTCCTCTATACTGATAGGTGGTGATGTCGTGTTCAGCTCCATCCTCTATATACTGATAGGTGGTGATGTCAGTGATCAGCTCCATCCTCTATACTGATAGGTGGTGATGTCAGTGATCAGCTCCCTCCTCTATACTGATAGGTGGTGATGTCAGTGATCAGCTCCATCCTCTATACTGATAGGTGGTGATGTCAGTGATCAGCTCCATCCTCTATACTGATAGGTGGTGATGTCAGTGTTCAGCTCCCTCCTCTATACTGATAGGTGGTGATGTCAGTGTTCAGCTCCCTCCTCTATACTGATAGGTGGTGATGTCAGTGTTCAACTCCCTCCTCTATACTGATAGGTGGTGATGTCAGAGTTCAGCTCCCTCCTCTATACTGATAGGTGTTGATGTCAGTGTTCAGCTCCCTCCTATATACTGATAGGTGGTGATGTCAGTGATCAGCTATCTCCTCTATGCTGATAGGTGGTGATGTCAGTGTTCAGCTCCATCCTCTATACTGATAGGTGGTGATGTCAGTGTTCAGCTCCCACCTCTATACTGATAGGTGGTGATGTCAGTGTTCATCTCCCTCCTCTATACTGATAGGTGGTGATGTCAGTGTTCATCTCCCTCCTCTATACTGATAGGTGGTGATGTCAGTGTTCAGCTCCCTCCTCTATACTGATAGGTGGTGATGTCAGTGTTCAGCTCCCTCCTCTATACTGATAGGTGGTGATGTCAGTGTTCAGCTCCCTCCTCTATACTGATAGGTGGTGATGTCAGTGATCAGCTCCCTCCTCTATACTGATAGGTGGTGATGTCAGTGTTCAGCTCCCACCTCTATACTGATAGGTGGTGATGTCAGTGTTCAGCTCCCTCCTCTATACTGATAGGTGGTGATGTCAGTGTTCAGCTCCTCCTCTATACTGATAGGTGGTGATGTCAGTGATCAGCTCCTCCTCTATACTGATAGGTGGTGATGTCAGTGTTCAACTCCTCCTCTATACTGATAGGTGGTGATGTCAGTGTTCAGCTCCCTCCTCTATACTGATAGGTGGTGATGTCAGTGTTCAGCTCCCTCCTCTATACTGATAGGTGGTGATGTCAGTGATCAGCTCCCTCCTCTATACTGATAGGTGGTGATGTCAGTGTTCAACTCCCTCCTCTATACTGATAGGTGGTGATGTCAGAGTTCAGCTCCCTCCTCTATACTGATAGGTGGTGATGTCAGTGTTCAGCTCCCTCCTCTATACTGATAGGTGGTGATGTCAGTGATCAGCTCCCTCCTCTATACTGATAGGTGGTGATGTCAGTGTTCAGCTCCATCCTCTATACTGATAGGTGGTGATGTCAGTGTTCAGCTCCCACCTCTATACTGATAGGTGGTGATGTCAGTGTCAGCTCATCTCCTCCCTATACTGATAGGTGGTGATGTCAGTGTTCAACTCCCTCCTCTATACTGATAGGTGGTGATGTCAGTGTTCAGCTCCCTCCTCTATACTGATAGGTGGTGATGTCAGTGTTCAGCTCCCTCCTCTATACTGATAGGTGGTGATGTCAGTGTTCAGCTCCATCCTCTATACTGATAGGTGGTGATGTCAGTGATCAGCTCCCTCCTCTATACTGATAGGTGGTGATGTCAGTGTTCAGCTCCATCCTCTATACTGATAGGTGGTGATGTCAGTGATCAGCTCCCTCCTCTATACTGATAGGTGATGATGTCAGTGTATCAGCTCCATCCTCTATACTGATAGGTGGCGATGTCGGCGATCAGCTCCATCCTCTATACTGATAGGTGGTGATGTCAGTGATCAGCTCCCTCCTCTATACTGATAGGTGGTGATGTCAGTGATCAGCTCCCTCCTCTATACTGATAGGTGGTGATGTCAGTGTTCAGCTCCCTTCTCTATACTGATAGGTGGTGATGTCAGTGTTCAGCTCCCTCCTCTATACTGATAGGTGGTGATGTCAGTGTTCAACTCCCTCCTCTATACTGATAGGTGACGATGTCAGTGATCAGCTCCCTCCTCTATACTGATAGGTGGTGATGTCGGTGTTCAGCTCCCTTCTCTATAATGATAGGTGGTGATGTCAGTGTTCAGCTCCCACCTCTGTATACTAATGTCATGTAATGAGACAACATGATAGTGTCCAATATGCTGCCTGTCATATTCCCATCAATATTAGCGAGGAACATAGCTGAGGAAAGGTTCTAATATTTAACTCGTAACCAATTTTTGTGAGGACACAGGAAACATGTGTTGTAAAGTTTCTTCTAAATAAACCCATCTCAGCTGTACATGTAACAGTACAGCCGGTTTATGTCATGGATGTTTCTGCTGATAAATACATAGTCTTTGTTGAGAACAAAGTCACAGCTGTAATATAGTATTGACAATGGCATTAAACACTTATAATTCCATGACACTCTCTCTCACACACTCCAGGAACAGGACGCAGCTCTGGCCAAGGATGTTCCGGAAGAGCCCAAAGTTGTGGGGAAGAAAGCCCCCCCCCAGATAGAGCGACCAAGCAACGCTGACTGTGGTGTCCCTAAGACTAACACAAACATTACCCCTGCAGCCATGGCGATGGACCCTGCGAACTGGAGAGCATGCCGCCATGGAAACGGGAGCTCTTGTTCAAGAGAGAGAAAGTTCCGATGACATTTTTCAACGAATATAATCCTGATGAAGAAGATGAAGCACCTCCGAGTTGATTCGTGAAAAATGTGATATTTTTTTCTGCTGAACATTTTCTCAGAAACAAGACAGAAAGTGAACAAATTACTGAGGTGTTTCACTGTGTCTTCCATCGGATCTGAACACAGAGTTCTGGGTGACACAGATGTGACATGTAACACACATGTGTCCATGTGACCTTCACTACAAGGTCACTCATTGTTTCATGTACATGTAGCTGTCTGTCAATGTTGTGTCTTGGATGCGTGTCGGCTAGGTCTTACAGTCAAGGTCAAGGTCAGGGATGACTATTGATGCATGACCTCTAGGCCTGGTACAGACCTAATGACTGTTTGTATATTTATAACCAATCCTGCAGCAATTTGCATATTATTGTTGTGTGTTGCTTAGCAACAGCTACAGAATCTGCCAATCAAAATTCTTTTATATGCATTTAATGACGCGTTTATAAATAAAACATACCAGCCAACACAGAGCTTAGGGAAGGACTGACATATATCATTCCTCAGTGCAACAAAAACTATGCATTCATTTCTGTCTTGGATTCAAACTACAACCACTTCCATCGGTACGACATCGGGTGATGACGCTGTGTAGACTTGCAGGGCGTTGCTGGCATCTGTCACAAACGTTGTTTGTCAGATGGATTTGAAATATAAATACAATAAGGGAATTCTGGCATAGCGTTACCCCAAACAACATCACCAGTGACGTACACAACAAACAGTGTCAGACATGACCAGACAGTGTCAGACATAACCAGACAGTGTCAGACATGACCAGACAGTGTCAGACATGACCAGACAGTGTCGGACATGACCAGACAGTGTCGGACATAACCAGACAGTGTCGGACATGGCCAGACAGTGTCGGACATGACCAGACAGTGTCAGACATGACCAGACAGTGTCGGACATGACCAGACAGTGTCAGACATGACCAGACAGTGTCAGACATGACCAGACAGTGTCGGACATGACCAGACAGTGTCGGACATGACCAGACAGTGTCGGACATAACCAGACAGTGTTGAACATGGCCAGACAGTGTCGGACATGACTAGACATTGTCAGACATGACCAGACAGTGTCAGACATAACCAGACAGTGTTGGACATGGCCAGACAGTGTCAGACATGATCAGACAGTGTCAGACATGACCAGACAGTGTCAGACATAACCAGACAGTGTTGGACATGGCCAGACAGTGTCGGACATGGCCAGACAGTGTTGGACATAACCAGACAGTGTTGGACATGGCCAGACAGTGTCGGACATGACTAGACATTGTTGGACATGACTAGTAGGTGGACACTAGTTGCTCCCAAGTGTAGTGTCAGTAACAGGGAGTAACATTTTTACATGAACACGATTGCTTGTGGCTGTATTACATGAGTATTTGTCACTCTACATTTTATGTGGATGTTTTTTACATGAATGTGAACATTACCAACAAGTGAACTTGTCAAATGTGTAGAAATCGGTAGTGTTAGAAAGAAAGGTCTTCCGGGGTCTGTCTACATAACACAGACGGAACACAACACTGACTGAATAACTGATGGAACACAACATTGACTGAATAACTGATGGAACACAACACTAACTGAATAACTGATGGAACACAACATTGACTGAATAACTGATGGAACACAACACTGACTGAAATAACTGATGGAACACAACACTGACTGAAATAACTGATGGAACACAACACTGACTGAAATAACTGATGGAACACAACACTGACTGAAATAACTGATGGAACACAACACTGACTGAAATAACTGATGGAACACAACATTGACTGAATAACTGATGGAACACAACACTAACTGAATAACTGATGGAACACAACATTGACTGAATAACTGATGGAACACAACACTGACTGAAATAACTGATGGAACACAACACTGACTGAATAACTGATGGAACACAACACTGACTGAAATAACTGATGGAACACAACACTGACTGAAATAACTGATGGAACACAAAACTGATGGAACACCTGACTGATGGGAGAAGGTGTATACATTGTTGTACAGACATGCCAACTCATAACTTACACACTGTGTTGTACAGACAGGCCAACTCATAACTTACACACTGTGTTGTACAGACAGGCTAACTCATAACTTACACACTGTGTTGTGTAGACTGGCCCACATATGACTTACAAAATGTGTCACATTTGATGTAGTGTAATGGACTTGTAATGCAGTATTTTGTTGTGGTAACTTTCCTTCCAGATTCAAGTATAACTGTGTTTTCTATGTATTTTGGATACATGATGACATATTGATAGCTTGTACGTGCAGCTATGCACGGATCTCCTCCTCCTGGTCCCGATGACCCTGTGTCTACCACTGGATCAGTAATGCTGCCTGTTTTCCTGTCACACTCGCAGTATGCATGGTTATTATTTAGTTGAATATTTTGTTTCTTTGTAACTTTGATAACAAAATCAGTATTTCAACTTTACAGCGGTAAACATTTGTTTGCAGTTCAATTCCTGTTTATTTACAAAGATGTAATCAAACTTAATTTTATGTAATATTTATTGTTCAATTATAGTGGATTATATTCAATATTTGGTGCTGAATCATTAAGTATTGACAATCATAACTGCTCAAACACCTGCTTCATTTATCAGCACCTGTGTCAGGGACTCCGTTATCTCTGGCTTCCTGTTGTCACGTGACATCGCCGTCTTATTCCACTCAGTGAATCTGGCTCTGTGGGCTCTGTGGGCTCTGTGCTGCAGTCTGTGGTACACAGGATTCCGTCATCAAAGTGCTGAGCTGGCTCTGTGACATTGGTGACCTGTCAGGGGTTGCAATCATGTGATGTCCTCACAATGCTCACCACCACCTGTGCTACCACTGATTGTTCCACCAGTGTTTGCTCCACCCCTCTACAGTATTGTACAACAGTATTACATTGATAGCACCAGCAGTATTGCACATCCTGCAGCTAGACCGCCACAGCTAGACCGCCACAGCTAGACCGGCACAGCTAGACGCCGGCACAGCTAGGTCGTGGTCGGCACAGCTGGAGTCAGGCACTAGCTGGCACAGCTGGACCGCCACAGCTGGACCGCCACAGCTAGACCGCCACAGCTAGACTGGCACAGCTAGACCGGCACAGCTAGGTCGGCCGTGATACTGTATAGGCTACCCATACTGACATATGAATATCAAACTAAATCACAGTTGCCATCAAGTTCTTGCACATACCTGGTGCACCACAAACTGAATTGTATATCAAATTAAAATACATGTGGAAAGCCTGAGATCTGTGCTTCCTCATGTGAGCATGTTTGTATTTTGGTGTCTACCTACCGAGGTAGTTTGTTAGGCAAGATATTGGGAGGTGATGTACACTGTCACCAATATGTAACCAGCTTTGTATTGGATGTATACTTTGACAGTTTTTGATACATTTACAAACCTGATGTGTACTTAACGCCCTGTTGAATGTCCTTGACCTGGGGACCTTGGAAACAGAGAGCCGAGTTTACTTCAGAGAAACATGCACTGGCATAAACATTGGTCGAGACAGGTACTGAGTGACCTGGCAAGATTCTGACATTGGTCGAGACAGGTACTGATTGACCTGGCAAGATTCTGACATTGGTCGAGACAGGTACTGATTGACCTGGCAAGATTCTGACATTGGTCGAGACAGGTACTGATTGACCTGGCAAGATTCTGACATTGGTCGAGACAGGTACTGATTGACCTGGCAAGATTCTGACATTGGTCGAGACAGGTACTGAGTGACCTGGCAAGATTCTGACATTGGTCGAGACAGGTTCTGAGTGACCTGGCAAGATTCTGACGTTATTGTGATTCACGATGATCACATCATGGTTATCAAGGTCAAAGTCATTTGCCTGCCACAGGCCCCGTCAGTTTCACCATCAGTATGTACAAGTGTGACAACAGATTCAGCCTTGTATACCCTCTTTTCCTCTTTTGTTTTGCCTGATTTATATTCCGCTGATGTAGACTCCCGAGTGTGTTTTAGGTGTATGACTTGCTGCCCAGCGTAGTCCCAACTGAGAACCAGTTTGACTGGGTTCCTGTAGTGACTCATCACACCTGTCTGTAGATAGTTTCTTGAAATGCTCAGATTTTCGGAACTTTAGTATTTTCCAGCCTTTACCTGTTCTTATTTGTAGATATATTTTTTGTGTTTTATGTACAGAATTGTCACTGGTCATGAAAATAAACATTTTCATCCATGTCTTGTGCAGTAAGGTTTGTTAGTTTTTCATTTGGAACTTTGAAGGGTATTCGTGAGTTGTTCCCAAAACCCATCAAACTTAAAAGCTCTTTCACACATACCAAGGTTTTACATAACTCCTGATTCAACTTCAACATTTGACAGAAATCCTAAAGTAAATAGTTTACATTAGCCACGGAAGCAAACACAATTAATGTTATTTGTTGTTTTTACTGTAGACAGCGAGAATGTGTTGATTGTATGAAGGCTAATATACTTCTGTCAGGTAAAACCTTACACAGATGCATGGAAGGCTGCACATGATCAGTCTACAGAGGAGAACAGTAATATGGAAATTGTTCCTTGTTGAGAAAAGTGTAGATGTTACCGTATGATGGGCCAGCCACAGGGTCTGTCTACAGAGAAGTACAGAGGGAGTGTAGATGTAGACGGCGGAGATGGGCCAGCCACAGGGTCTGTCTACAGAGGAGAACAGTAATATGGAAATTGTTCCTTGTTGAGAAGAGTGTAGATGTAACCGTATAATGGGCCAGCCACAGGGTCTGTCTACAGAGGAGTACAGAGAGGAGTGTAGATGTAGCAGTATGATGGGCCAGCCACAGGGTCTGTCTACAGAGGAGTACAGTAATATGGAAATTGTTCCTTGTTGAGGAGGAGTGTAGATGTAGTCTTATGATGGGCCAGCCACAGGGTCTGTCTACAGAGAGACAGAGTACAGTAATATGGAAATTGTTCCTTGTTGAGCAGTACAGAGCGAGTGTAGATGTAGTCTTATGATGGGCCAGCCACAGGGTCTGTCTACAGAGAAGTACAGAGAGGAGTGTAGATGTAGCCAGTATGATGGGCCAGCCACAGGGTCTGTCTACAGAGGAGAACAGTAATATGGAAATTGTTCCTTGTTGAGAGTGTAGAGTGTAGATGTAGTCTTATGATGGGCCAGCCACAGGGTCTGTCTACAGAGAAGTACAGAGAGGAGTGTAGATGTAGCCGTATGATGGGCCAGCCACAGTGTCGGTCTACAGAGAAGTACAGAGGAGTACAGTAATATGGAAATTGTTGATGTTGAGATGGCGTAGATGTAGTACTTAGGATGGGATGTAGCCAGCCTGATGGTCTGTCTACAGAGGGTCTGTAATATGGAAATTGTTCAGTTGAGAGGAGTGTAGATGTAGTCTTATGATGGGCCAGCCACAGGGTCTGTCTACAGAGAAGTACAGTAATATGGAAATTGTTCCTTGTTGAGAGGAGTGTAGATGTAGTCGTTTGATGGGCCAGCCACAGGGTCTGTCTACAGAGAAGTACAGTAATATATGGAAATTGTTCCTTGTTGAGGAGTGTAGATGTTACCATATAATGGGCCAGCCACAGGGTCTGTCTACAGAGAAGTACAGTAATATGGAAATTGTTCCTTGTTGAGAGGGAGCGTAGATGTTACAGAATGGGCCAGCCACAGGGTCTGTCTACAGAGAAGTACAGTAATATGGAAATTGTTCCTTGTTGAGAGGAGTGTAGATGTAGTCTTATGATGGGCCAGCCACAGGGTCTGTCTACAGAGGCGTACAGTAATATGGAAATTGTTCCTTGTTGAGAGGCTAGTGTAGATGTAGCCTTATGATGGGCCAGCCACAGGGTCTGTCTACAGAGAGTACAGTAATATGGAGTGTGTTCCTTGTTGAGAGGAGTGTAGATGTAGCATATAATGGGCCAGCCACAGGGTCTGTCTACAGAGAAGTACAGTAATATGGAAATTGTTCCTTGTTGAGAGGAGGTGTAGATGTTACCATATGATGGGCCAGCCACAGGGTCTATCTACAGAGGAGTACAGTAATATGGAAATTGTTCCTTGTTGAGAGGAGCGTAGATGTTACCATATAATGGGCCAGCCACAGGGTCTGTCTACAGAGAGAAGTAGTACAGTAATATGGAAATTGTTCCTTGTTGAGAGGTAGCGTAGATGTTACCATATAATGGGCCAGCCACAGGGTCTGTCTACAGAGAGTACAGTAATATGGAAATTGTTCCTTGTTGATAGGAGCGTAGATGTTACCATATAATGGGCCAGCCACAGGGTCTGTCTACAGAGAAGTACAGTAATATGGAAATTGTTCCTTGTTGAGGAGGAGCGTAGATGTTACCATATAATGGGCCAGCCACAGGGTCTGTCTACAGAGAAGTACAGTAATATGGAAATTGTTCCTTGTTGAGAGGGCGTAGATGTTACCATATAATGGGCCAGCCACAGGGTCTGTCTACAGAGAAGTACAGTAATATGGAAATTGTTCCTTGTTGAGAAAAGTGTAGATGTTACCGTATGATGGGCCAGCCACAGGGTCTGTCTACAGAGGCGTACAGTAATATGGAAATTGTTCCTTGTTGGGAGGATGTAGATGTAGTCTTATGATGGGCCAGCCACAGGGTCTGTCTACAGAGAAGTACAGAGAGGAGTGTAGATGTAGACGTATGATGGGCCAGCCACAGGGTCTGTCTACAGAGGAGAACAGTAATATGGAAATTGTTCCTTGTTGAGAAGAAAGAGCGTAGATGTAGTCTTATGATGGGCCAGCCACAGGGTCTGTCTACAGAGGAGTACAGTAATATGGAAATTGTTCCTTGTTGAGGAGGAGCGTAGATGTAGTCTTATGATGGGCCAGCCACAGGGTCTGTCTACAGAGAAGTACAGTAATATGGAAATTGTTCCTTGTTGAGAGGAGTGTAGATGTAGTCTTATGATGGGCCAGCCACAGGGTCTGTCTACAGAGAAGTACAGTAATATGGAAATTGTTCCTTGTTGAGGAGGGAGCGTAGATGTAGTCTTATGATGGGCCAGCCACGGGGTCTGTCTACAGAGAAGTACAGAGAGGAGTGTAGATGTAGCCGTATGATGGGCCAGCCACAGGGTCTGTCTACAGAGGAGAACAGTAATATGGAAATTGTTCCTTGTTGAGAGAAAGAGCGTAGATGTAGTCTTATGATGGGCCAGCCACAGGGGTCTGTCTACAGAGAAGTACAGAGAGGAGTGTAGATGTAGCTGTATGATGGGCCAGCCACAGGGTCTGTCTACAGAGAAGTACAGTAATATGGAAATTGTTCCTTGTTGAGGAGGAGCGTAGATGTAGTCTTATGATGGGCCAGCCACAGGGTCTGTCTACAGAGAGAGTACAGTAATATGGAAATTGTTCCTTGTTGAGAGGAGTGTAGATGTGGGTCTTATGATGGGCCAGCCACAGGGTCTGTCTACAGAGAAGTACAGTAATATGGAAATTGTTCCTTGTTGAGAGGGAGCGTAGATGTTACCATATAATGGGCCAGCCACAGGGTCTGTCTACAGACAAGTACAGTAATATGGAAAATTGTTCCTTGTTGAGAGGAGCGTAGATGTTACCATATAATGGGCCAGCCACAGGGTCTGTCTACAGAGAAGTACAGTAATATGGAAATTGTTCCTTGTTGAGAGGAGTGTAGATGTAGCCGTATGATGGGCCAGCCACAGTGTCTGTCTACAGAGGCGTACAGTAATATGGAAATTGTTCCTTGTTGACAGGAGTGTAGATGTAGCCGTATGATGGGCCAGCCACAGGGTCTGTCTACAGAGAAGTACAGTAATATGCAAATGTTCCTTGTTGAGAGGAGCGTAGATGTTACCATATAATGGGCCAGCCACAGGGTCTGTCTACAGAGAAGTACAGTAATATGGAAATTGTTCCTTGTTGAGGAGGAGTGTAGATGCTAGCCGTATGATGGGCCAGCCACAGGGTCTGTCTACAGAGGCGTACAGTAATATGGAAATCTGTTCCTTGTTGAGAGGAGCGTAGATGTAGTCTTATAATGGGCCAGCCACAGGGTCTGTCTACAGAGAAGTACAGAGAGGAGTGTAGATGTAGACGTATGATGGGCCAGCCACAGGGTCTGTCTACAGAGGAGAGACAGTAATATGGAAATTGTTCCTTGTTGAGAAGAGAGCGTAGATGTAGTCTGATGATGGGCCAGCCACAGGGTCTGTCTACAGAGAAGTACAGAGAGGAGTAGATGTAGCCGTATGATGGGCCAGCCACAGGGTCTGTCTACAGAGGGAGTACAGTAATATGGAAATTGTTCCTTGTTGAGAGGAGCGTAGATGTAGTCTTATGATGGGCCAGCCACAGGGTCTGTCTACAGAAGACAGTACAGTAATATGGAAATACCTTGTTGAGAGGAGCGTAGATGTAGTCTTATGATGGGCCAGCCACAGGGTCTGTCTACAGAGAAAGTACAGAGAGGAGTGTAGATGTAGCCGTATGATGGGCCAACCACAGGGTCTGTCTACAGAGGGAGGGAGAACAGTAATATGGAAATTGTTCCTTGTTGAGAAGAGTGTAGATGTAGTCTTATGATGGGCCAGCCACAGGGTCTGTCTACAGAGAAGTACAGAGAGGAGTGTAGATGTAGCATTATGATGGGCCAGCCACAGTGTCTGTCTACAGAGGAGTACAGTAATATGGAAATTGTTCCTTGTTGAGATGAGCGTAGATGTAGTCTTATGATGGGCCAGCCTCAGGGGTCTGTCTACAGAGAAGTACAGTAATATGATGTTCCTTGTTGAGAGGAGTGTAGATGTAGTCTTATGATGGGCCAGCCACAGGGTCTGTCTACAGAGAAGTACAGTAATATGGAAATTGTTCCTTGTTGAGAGGAGTGTAGATGTAGTCTTATGATGGGCCAGCCACAGGGTCTGTCTACAGAGAAGTACAGTAATATGGAAATTGTTCCTTGTTGAAAGGAGCGTAGATGTTACCATATAATGGAGCCAGCCACAGGGTCTGTCTACAGAGAAGTACAGTAATATGGAAATTGTTCCTTGTTGAGAGGAGCGTAGATGTTACCATATAATGGGCCAGCCACAGGGTCTGTCTACAGAGAAGTACAGTAATATGGAAATTGTTCCTTGTTGAGAGGAGCGTAGATGTTACCATATAATGGGCCAGCCACAGGTCTGTCTACAGAGAAGTACAGTAATATGGAAATTGTTCCTT